ACAGAAACTGCTTGGTTAGTGCTTTCTATCACAGTGTGATGGATAGCTCGAGTAAATCACATCACAGAGAACCACTCTTCGCTTACCCAAACAGCCACACAGTAACTTAAACCGCTTTTACTCCCTGTTTCTCGGTAATATCCATGGATAAACAATCCGGTTTGGTGGATGAATCGACAAAAAATCTTCAGAGGAATATATATTTCATAATAAGTAGTATATAAATGACTAGACGAAATTTCCCTGGAAGCACACAATCGGTTTCGCGGTTCTTGTCGCTCTTCAGGCATATATATATATATATATGTATATATATATATATGCATTCCCAGTACAACTCGATCTTTTTTCGGCATTTGCTTAGCAAGGTTGCCTCCTGTGGATCCCAAAAGTGATATGAGTAGGCGACCATATTTGTGTTGGTCTCGAGAATGTTTTGCAGGAAGGTGATTGCTAGGTGAACTCCAACCACTGATTCCCTTGCGCCGTTTAGTTTTCTGTGAAACAATGTTCCTCTGTCTCTGTTTAACCATTTAAGCGGTTGTTCTTCTGTCTGCGATGTATGAATTCGTAGGTTACTTTACATCCTTTGTACCGTAGAATGTCCTGGATATCAGATCGATTTTCGCTTTTTCTCTTCGCTCCACTTTGGGCTACTCTTTACCCATCCATGTTCCTGTTTGCTTTTTATATGTTTAAGATGTAAGAGCAGTCCATCTGATTTTTCGTTTTATACAAGAATATTTTTTATAAATAAATTATTAACCTTACTATACCATATTCACTCTCTCACCTTGACTATTAGATTCATTCTTTCGAAATGGAATACGTACGGATATAGTTTAAATAACCCAACACAAACCTTACTTGAGATGAGGTTGTATTATTTTCATCGTTCATCCCAAATTGGGGCTAAAGGTAGACACTGAGGAATAATCCTGACTGTCGTAAACAATGGTGCTCGTGCATCTGCCCCATTTGTTCGCGTATCAGGTTTACGTACATTTTGTACCCTTACTTTGGCATGACTCTCAGCTTTTCACTTCTTCAATTTGCTTCATCATTGGTTGACCAACCGGGCAACTAAAGGACAACCACCACAACCGCTACGTGAAAGAGCGAGGATAATGTTTGTGTTAGCTAAAAACCAAAACAGAAAATCGAAAAAGGTGTATTTTTTATTACGAAGTGACAGGATGATCGTCATTGCTGTCGGTTCGCGGCCATGACCTTCAGTGTCTCCAACCATGCGGTTACGGAGTCTTTTGGACTCCAACTCGGAAGCCGAGAGATACCTACTCTACCTAATGGCTCTGTGCATTTCTNGGCTTTCTCCAGTCTGCAACAGCCACTGCGAACAAGGCGCGCTGCGTTTGGTGATCGTCGGACATACGCAACACGTGTCCTAACCAGCGGAGCTTATTGAACTGGATTCGATGCGATAGCCAGTTTTTGTTTTTATTCCTAAACACCCGGCTGTTCGTGAAGCGTCGAGGGTATACTGCGGCAGTTTGGATAGTTCTGCTATGCAGCGCAGAAATTCAACCATTAAGGAAGCAGATTAAAGATAGACTGGCGGTGTTTTGACACCGCTGTCTACGCAGCATCGTACAACTCTGGTGGAGCAACGGGACGAGCAATGCTGGGTTTAGGCGCAGAGTTTTGGGTAACCACAGTCACCCACTGGAGCAAGTGGTCGACCTCCATAAGTGATAGTGGTTTGGGGCATGTGTTACGCATTTCACGGAATAGGTTGCCACGGCGCGCCATGTCTTCCGAGGCAGGTAGTGGGTGGAATAAAGTCATGGACGGTCAAGATAACACCTGGCACGAGGGTATGAAAGACTTAACCATGAGACCCAATCGCATAGGTCCCCTTAGGCTCCCCGGATGGGAACGTTGGGATCATTGTAATCAGTGGTTAGAGACACTGAGTGATATGGGTGAGTGTTGTAAACAGTGGCATTTTTGCATCTCCTCAATTTCTTTGCAACATTAGTTCAATGAAATTCTCCATTTTATCTTCGACTGTACTTTCCACTTTCCGGGTTTTCTCCTACTGTTCAATCTAAATGGGCAGCAACCAAAACCGGCGTACAAAAGTGCATGGTCAATGGTTGTACCAACTGAACTGGACTACTTCAGTGGAATACATGTTTGGTTTCATGATCGGTGTTGCACCCATCGTTTTCTGAAAATATGCAGCTCACAACTTCGAACTTCAGTGATTGGTTGCATATCTTTATAGCTTGAGAATAGGCGTTATTTTTCGTTCCACCGGGTCCACTTTATATTATGCTTCAGTGTATGATAAAACAGCTTTTGTGGCTCACCATTTTGATCATGCTGTGACTTCTTATCAGTCCAAAATGCTTGAACTAGTATGTGTGCACAGTTGGGCTGTGTACTCTGTGTTGACCATAGCGGTTCGCTTTCTTTTCCCGTCCGTAAAAATAAGCCCAATCCATGTCCTCCTTACACATTCTTACTTGTATGCATTATGAGTTTGGCAGCGATCAGTGAAGTTCACTTCACTGTATTGCGCTGTACAATGATGATGATGATTTTGACAATCACTCATTTATTTGTTTCTTACATGGTTTCAATGTTTACTTCATTTGTAGATCTGTTTCCGATGAAATCATTTAGCCGCTGAGCGATGCTAGACGAGGGGCAGGCGCGCGGGGCCTTGTCTCCGACTAGTCTAGTCCATAAAAGAAGCGATCCTTCAGGATTAAAAGAGATCGGATCCAATGGGGAGATAGAATCACTTCAGTCTCTTCACCTAGTTCGAACGCGACCTCCTCGTCCCTTCTCGAATCCCACAAAGCCATTGCATTTGGGATCCATTTCTTGTGATGCAGTTAGTTCAGAGTTAACTTGCATCGAAGGTTCCTCCCCAATTAATCGACCATCCAGTACTCCAACCAGTTGTGCCCTGCGCCTTGATGGTCCGAAGCCTGTTTTGGATACTTGTCTTTCTGAAGCGAGCGAGACGTTACTAGATGATACGGTGGTGGTAGATGAGCATTCTGTGGAGCCGGGGGATGGAAAGCCTGCTTCGGTCGACTTTGTCCCGCCACCGGACTTCCCATCTTCCCAGCAAGACGTACCGTGGGATCCGTGTTCAGTTGCTGAAACGTCCATTTCCTGTGACTCCCCGGCTGTTACGGTAGTTTCATCCGTGTCCCAGCTCCTTGCCGACCAGTACGCACCACCAACATCAAATTTGTCTAACCTATTTTCTCCATCTCAACCTACCAGCAATCTATCCGATGGCAAGGTTAGTTTTATCTATGAACCACAATATGTATTTATTTATTATAGAATCCTTCAAGAGGACCCGATTACCGTTCCCAATTAAAGCGCCCGCATTCCGCAGTAACTGTAGCTTCCAATTCACTGGACACTGAAGATGTGACAATGCGTCCATCTTCCGCCCCGAAACGTCTTCTGAAAGACATATACGAACCGATTTCCAGTCTGTTTGCGGATGGCACCACATTGTCTTTCGAGAACTCTGATTCCCAAATGGAAATACGTGATCCCGAAAACAATACAAATCCACCGCCTAAATCCACTTTGGAAGCGCTTGTCGCCTCCGATTCCCCATTGCTGTTTTTCACCTCCGGGTTCTCAGTGGACACCGAAAAGGAATCTGCACAATTGTGCGATCTCTTTGGCGCCTCTCCATCGCGGAAACAAAACGCATCACCAACACTTTCCGCTTATCCCAACGGTCAGATAGGTTAC